CGCAACCGTCAGTTGTGTAGTGTGACACCCCCAGCGATTTAGTCATACAGTTTTTGACAGCCCTACTCTCGGCAACTGATTTGATTTTGTCGTAGCGAGAGGGGCGGGCTCTTGTGTCTGAGACAGTCGGCAGCCACTGAGCGCTCAACCGGAAGTACAATGCATACAATGCTCAAGAGTAGCTATGCTCATGCTACTGCTCCTCACAGTGAACTATTACAATGGCGGCTGCAAGGAAAGAAGGAAAGCGGTTGTTTTGGACTCTGCAAATGGAGGAGAGGCTCGTCGACCTTTGGAGCCAGCACAGATGCCTGTTCGATGTTTCGTGCTTGTCGTACCGCGACAGAGTGGAAAAAGAAAGAAGATGGGTCGAGATTGCGGCTGAACTCAACATACCCGGTAAGCACTTGTTCAGTCTACTAGGCTAGCCACAGTAGTTCGCCAAAATTGTCGTCTCGAGATCACGACACCTTTCTTCGTTCACGGGATGAAGAAGTCTTGATTTCGCGATAAAGGGGACAGAACAAATGAAAATGCACGGCCCCTTTGGGTCTCTGCAAACCCTTTCACGTTTGCAAATGGTGAAATGTTTGAGAGATGGCATGCGAAAAGCGAATTAGCCAGTGTGATCAGCACGGCATTGGGTGAAGTTGCACTGAAGGGCTTGGTACCGGTTGGTACAAATGAGCAGAGTGATTGGCAAGGAGTTCACAATGGAAGCGCCATTGGGTTTGATATGTTGTGCATAGACATGATTCGTAGGGTTTAAAAGTCATACTACTGGTCATTTCTGAATGTCTCTCCTTGTCTGCGTGTTTATGCTATTGGAGCATTTGCTCCCTCAACGTAGCCTAGACGACGTCCTAATTTGTTTTCCCTCATATAATGGAATGCTGCACGTTTCTAATCTTGGCAATGTTGTGATTGCAGCCGAAGAGGTGAAAATAAGGACTGGGTCTCTACGAACCCAGTACTCCAGACTGCTCAGGCCAAAGCCTATCGGAAGCAGTGGGAAACCACTTACAGCGAAGCAGCGCTGGCTCTTGGACAACATGGAGTTCCTGAGAAAACATGTTGTCCCGCGGTTTAGCAAGAGTAGTTTGAGCGTAAGTACACACTAAAACGTATGACTTTACTTAAGACAGTTTTTTGCCATTGAGCTGATACGTCTCACACATTAATGTGTCAGTTGAGAAATGCACGTACAACTGAGGCAATTGGTTTATAAAAATGTAATAGAATTTTGAACATGGCATGTCTTCTGGGATATTTCTGGAAGCTCACATGTATTCCCCCTCATAGCTTCATCCCGAGCAGGAGGAGCAACTGGACCTGGAGCCTGTGGACAGCAGTGACGACGGCGTCTCGGATGCGTCAGACTGGGCCCCAGGAGACTCACAGCAGTCCGACAACTCTCTCGTCTCGGCAGGGTCCTCCGATTCGCCGCCTCCCGACTCGCAACTGTCACCCGGGGGAGGGCAAAGTCCTTCCCCAGTGGTGTCTGATGTAGGCAGAGTCATCAACAAAAAGGCACCAAAAAGGAAGGCTTCTGATGATGACAGGGAGCTGCAAAAGCTTACGATCCTGAAGGAGATGTCGGCCGCTGTGCTGGCTGGACTAAACCAGCCTCGCGACTCTGAGGCATTGTTTGCGCAGCAAATTGCTGCTGAAGTCCGGCAGATCCGAAGCCCTATTTTGAGAATGAGGGCCAAGAAAACAATAATGACCCTCGTATATGAATTTCAAGAGCAAGACCAGAGGGAAGCACAGGTCCCCAGACACACAGACGGATTCTCAGAGTACCACGCCAGCTTTCGGATACCACCAGCGCCAGCACCTGGCCCGGCCCATGGACGATACTTCCACCCACGGCCTCCTCCAGCCTACACAGAAATGCTACACAGCAGTGAGCCAGATGTGTACTTGTGAGATAATGTCCCCATTATATTACACGTGCAGCTACATAATTGCAAACATTATAAATAATTTCTGTGGCCTTGTACTTTTAAAACATCAGCACCTACTATAGCAGCATGTTGCAATGCAGTATTTTCATATAGGACAGGAGGGTCTTGGCCAAAAACCTTTTGAAGTGCAGTTTCTAAAGCAGGATTTCTGTTGTAACAGGAAAGGTGAGAAGAAGCTGAGAAAAGCAGGATCAAGGGAATACAGAAGAATAACCGATTCTGAAGGTAAGTAACACACTGTAAGAATCTACAGCTCAGAGCAAAGTATTACTCTCCCTAAACACTGCTTAAGAGCTGGAGTCCTGTGGGTCTTAATGATCTCTGACAACCATCTTCTGCAAAAGAAAATGCAAGTTTCTTTTACCAGTTGTACAAGCAGTCATGTGCTTCAAAGGAACAGTTACGTTTTTTTTTATTTGCATGTGATTGGATTAGATTTCAGACCTGAGGTGCTAACTGCATGGAGTTTGTATGTTCTCCCCGTGTTTGTGTGGGTTTCCTCTGGGTGCTCCAGTTTCTTCCCACAGTCCAAAGATTCTGGCTTCTGGCAAAATTGGCCCTGGTGTGTCTGTGTGTGAGAGTGAGTGTCTGTGTGCTCTGTGTGCTCTGTGTGCTCTGTGTGCTCTGTGTGCTCTGTGTGCTCTGTGTGCTCTGTGTGCTCTGTGTGCCTGTGTGCCTGTGTGCCTGTGTGCCTGTGTGCCTGTGTGCCTGTGTGTCTGTGTGTCTGTGTGTGAGAGTGAGTGTCTGTGTGTGTGTGTGCTCTGTAATGGACTGGCATCTGGTCTAGGGTGTATCCTGCCCTGTGCCCATAGCTTGCCGGGATAGGCTCCTTCTCTCCATGACCCTGAATCAGATAAGGCAGAAAGAAAGTGGATGGATTTCATCCGGCTGTTTTTTGAAAAAATCCAGCACATCAGTTTTGACAACATGGCTAAGTAACCTGTTCCCATATTAAACAGAAACACTAATAACAATGATATATAATGAAGGCAAAATGTGATTTGTTTTTTTTGGGATGTGACCTGGAATTCCAAAGGGCCAGTGTCAGAGTTCCTGCTACAGGTTAGCATTAATTAATATCTTCTGGAGCCACACCAGAGAGGATACCTCCTTTACAATGCCAGACACAGTGTTTGGAAGTGAGCAGTAACCTCAAGACTGGCACTGGTGGTGATACAGTAGAAAACAGCTAGTCGTAACTGCCCTGTTAGCTGTACCTTCGTGGATATTATATTCCTTAGTTATAGCCAATTTAAACTTAATAGTAAAAATATAACACATTGATATTTCTGTATTATTAGATGAAAGAGAGTTTACCACTAATTCTGGACAAGAGTTGGTGCAATCAACCAAGGAAAAAGCAACTCCTAGCCCCTATCAAAATGTGAGTCTTTGGTCTCAATTACATTTTTGTTACTATATCTAATCAGTGGATTATACTATTTTCTATGTTGTTTAAACACTTGACTAAGTTAACTTTGTAAGCAGTCATTTCAGTTCTTGAGAAAGAGATGTTAATTCTTTTTATGATGATATGCAGTGTGATTTTTTAATGCTGGAATGCAATATGACCTCAATTTCATTCTTGTTTTTTGTGAGATTCATATTAATCATTTGTTGTATGTTTGCCCTCTTACGAGAATTAAAAATCAAATAAGAAATTACATATTTTGTATTCCAAGCTAAGAGGAAAACCTTTTTCATTTTATCCTTCTAGAGTTAAAAAGACGAAAATGAATGTAAAAATGTCACTTATCTAATTACAACCATATTCCTTTCCACATGGTACTTCACAGGCTATGAATAGTACATTTCAAAATAAATGTCAGGAAAATCTGATGTTACTTCTGTTCTATTTTTTTCTTAGAAATTAGGTAAAGCTCAAGAAACTGGAAGGTATGTTTTAAACTAACTGTAATTCCATTTTCAGGCTTTTATTCAGTTACATAAGCACCTCATTGCAACTAACCTTTTCGAACCCCTCCAATCTGGCTTCTGACAACTTCACAGCACAGAAACTGCCCTGGTCAAAGCCACTAACAGTCTTCAGATAACTTCTGATTCTGGTTCTCTTTCTATCCTCATTATACTTGATCTCAGTGCTGCTTTCAACACTGTTTACCATGATATCTTACTTTCTCGTCTTGAGACTGTGTTTGGAGTTTCTGACACTGCTCTTAAATGGTTCAAGTCTTACCTCACTGATCGCTGTTACTTTGTCTCTCCTGGTGGATTTAGGTCTGAAATGGTGGATTTGTCAAGTCTGGTGTTCCTCAGGGCTTAATACTGGCCCAACTATTTTCAGGATTAGATGTTTCTGCTTGGTCAGCTTTTAAGATCACATGGCCTCAACTATCATTTCTATGCTGATGATGCTCAAATCTATATCCATACCAAACCTGACACTGATGTGGCTGTCTCTGTTCTCCATTATTGCATCTCTGATATAAAAACATGGATGACTCAAAATTTCCTTCATCTGTTATACCTCAAAGCTCTGAAACTCTATCCCTAAGGATATCAGAGAGTCATCTTCTCTAAACATCCTCAAATCTAGACTAAAAACCTTATTTAGAAGGTCCTTTACTTCACTGATTCTTTTCTTTACTCCTCTGCTCCTACTTTATTCAGTATCCCCATCTACTGTCTCCTCATTCTGTTTTCTTTCAAAATACAAATGCATCATTTTGTGATGTAATATCAGTTCTCTTAACATTAATTTATATTCTCACTCGACAGACAAACAACAGATGATGAACAAGAACCAGCTGTTTCAGGTAAGGTTACATGCCATAACTCTCCGATTAACAAGCAGTGGGTTATCAGTGTTTTTCTAATTTGTACTCTTTTCACTTTCAAACTTGTTTTTCTTTGCAGTTAGGGTCTGGTGTTTAAAATCAGGTCATACATGTTGCACAGACGCATGCATATCAGTTGATGCTCATATCGAACACTTAAGTGTTCTGCACTGACATAACCAGTATTCTCGTAGCATTGCTGTATCTGAATAAAGAAAGTGGAAAGCTCAAAGTTAGACCTGGTGTTATGAAATGTCAGTCACAGCGAAGATGTATTACTCTAAATGAAATCCATCTTTCATGCCT